TTTTATTTTTTTTTTTTTTTTTTTTTTTTTTTTTTTTTTTTTTTTTTTTTTTTTTTTTTTTTTTTTTTTTTTTTGAATGTATTATAATAAAATATTGTGTTAAAATATATGTATATATATATAATATATATTTGAAAAAATTTAATTCTGATAGATAAAATTTTATTGTATTTTAACAGTATATATTTAAGGTTTAGAGATAAATTTTTGGGAGACAATAATACTTTTAAAAAAAAATAAATGATTGCAGTAAATATTGTCTTTAAAATATATTTTTGTATACACAAAAAAAAAAAAAAAGGAAAATATAAAATGTGAATCAAATATATTTCAAATAATAAAAATAATAGATCCTGTTTTAGTTATATATTTTTTTCTTTTTGTGTAACAAAGTAATTAGACAACATAATTTTCTTCTCTTTTTTTTTTTTTTAAATTGTAGTTTATCTACTGTTCATTTTTTATGTTAATATTATTACTTAGATTTTTTAGTATTTTATAAAATACGAAGTATATATATATATATATATATATATATTTATATATATATATAAAATGGTTAATGAAAACTATTTAATGGATCATAATTATACGAAAAATTTAGATTTCAAAGAAATAGAAACTGAAATAAAAACATTTAAAATAAAGCAAAATGAAACATTTAACTTTTATATAGATAGCATAAATAAACTAATAGAAAATGTTGAAAAAGCAAAAAAAAATTTAGAAGAAAGAAAAAAAAAAAACATACAAGATCATAACATTAGTATTAATAATAATAATATAACAACTGAAAGTAATGATATTAATAAAAATAATTTTGATATTAAAGAATTTATAAAAGATGTTAAAAACTTAAAAATAACAGAAAAAATAAGTGAAGAAAATAAAAAATTTTATAATATTTTGTTATTATCTTATAAAGGAATAATATCTTTAATAAAACAAGAAACTCCTGAAATATTAAAAAATGTTTACATAAAGAAAAATGTTATTCTTAGATTAATTCTATTACATTTTTTGCAAAAAGGAGACTTTTTTATGTATTATGTGTTAAATAATGAAATTTTAGAAAAGAAAAAGAAAAAGATGAAGAAAAAAAAAAATAATAAAGGTATAGAAAAAAGTACATCTAAAATTGATAAATTAAACAACTATAGCAATGAGGAAAATAGTATAATAAGTAAGGATAATAATTTTTTAAAAAATAACAATGAAATCAATTCAAGTAATAAAAGTATTTCGTTAAATAAATCAAACTTTTTTAGTGAAAAACTTTTAAATAATAATTTTTATGTATCAACGGATAAGAAAAAAGAAGAAGAAACAGATGTAAAAACATCTATAAGTGAAAAAGACTGTAATGGTAACAAGAATTCTAAAAATGAAGATTTTGAAAATAATAAAGGAAATAAAAATAATGTTATAAAAAATTATAATAATTGTATATATAATAACAAAGAAGAGAATAAATATGATTGCAATACAAGTAATAATAACGATAATTGTAATAACGACAAGTATTCAATTCTTTTAAACAATATAAATACTAGTAACATAAATATAAATAACAAAGAGAGTATATTTACTAAGTTTAAAAAAGAATACATAAGCAAAATAAAATACGAAAATGCTACAGAAGAAATCAATTTTGAACATTCACTCATTGAAAAAGAAATATTTGAAGGATATAAAATGTTACACACCATTTTGTATGATTTAAAACATTTTAAAGTAGATAAATGCATTGATTGGTATAATAACTCTAGTGAAACAATAAAAAAAAAGTATTCAAAGTTAATATATTTATTACATTGTATTAATTATTTAAAATACTCGAAGAATGATAAAGAAAAAGCATTAAGATCCTTAAGAGACCTTATGATAAATTATAAAGAAAATAAATCTCATATATCAAGATTAAGTACATTTATATGTATAGGAGTTGATAACTACTTTTTTAAAAATATGTTTTCTAGTGTTAATTCTAAAATTTATAATTATTTTAAAAGAGCATTTAACGAAGAAGGAATAGTTATTAATATTCCTAGTAAAATTAAAATGAAAAAGGATAAAAAGAAAATTGATACAGAAGAAAATATAAATTTAATTAAAGATTCAATAAAACAATTTACTAAAAATCGTAAATTTTATGAAAAGGAAAAATGTCATGAAAACAAAAAATTCATGAAAGAAAAAGAAAACTCATTAAATAAAAATGTAAAAAATGAAACTAATGATGATAAAATTGATTTAGTAAGCAATGATACAAATAAAAGAAGTGCTAAAATTCTTATAAGAAAAAGGAGAAAAAATAATAATAATAATAGATCCTCTTCATTAATTTCCTGTAAATTGGAGAAGAAAAGAAAAATCAAAAATAAAAATATAATAAAAAAAAAAGCAAAGAAAAATGAAAATATTTTGAAAAGAAAAATAAAAAAAAATAATGAAAAAATAAAACAGATAAAAAAAAAAAAAAAAAGGAAAATAGATTCTTTATATAAAATATACCAAAAGGAATATGCATTAAATATAAAAATAAATCATAACAAGGTACCTTTAATTCATAATAATATATATAAAGAAAAATATACTTCTACGTTTTCTGAACATTTTTATAATAATATAAATGAAGAAAATAATTTTGTTCCATTATGTGAAAGATATATGGAAAATAATATTAATAGATTATTAGATAAGGAAAGAATAAAAAAAAATCCCTTTTATTATGATTCTTCTAATTATAATTTTATTAGCAATAATAATTTAATATTACCAAAAGTGAAAATAAATCATAAGAACAGTAAAAGTAAAAATAAAAATGAAGAAAAACTAAATAAAGGATGGTACAAATATGTTTTTAATTGTACTAAAGATGTGTTTTCAGAGATTGTTGAATCTCAAAATGATATAAAAAATTTGATGAAGAAAGATATTAAACTTAATAAAGGTGTAGATTATCGCAATTATGTACACCATAAAATAACAGAACCAATTTACTTATATGAGTTAAGTGAAAACGAATTCAGTCAATTTTATCAAAATGATAGTTCTTATATAACCTATAAAATATTAAATAAAGCGGCACATTTTTATGATAACAACGATACTAAAATATCTAATAATCGAATTCAAAATTTAAATAGTGGTTATAATACGAACTATGTAAATACAAATAATAGTATATATAATGAATATATTTATAGTAATAATAGTTATAATAACGCTTTTTGTAATATTAGTCATAGTTCATTTAATTACTTAAATAATTCTTGCTTCATTAGAAAACCTAATATGCTTAAAAGAAAATTTCCCAAATGTAAATTTTTAAGTCGTTTGTGTAAAAATGAAAAAACAAATGAAAAAAATGATTGTTTGTCTAAAGAAGCTAATCCTAATGATACATTGTTAGATAAAAAAAAAAAAAATGAAAAAAATGAGGATCATAAAGATAATGATAAAAGTTGTGAAATAAAAGAGACAAAGAAAAGCAAGCAGTTAAAAGAAGAAACAACAGAAATAGAATATATTACCAGTGCGTTGAAAAAACATAAAAAAAATGAAGATTGTGAATATTTTAATTTTAAAGATTTTAATGAAGAAACTAATGAATATTCATATAATAGTTTTTATAGTGATAAATCAGTTAGTTCAAATAATTCTTCAGATTCTTCAAGTGAGAATAATTCATTGAATGGTTCTAGTTATGAAGAAAATTTGAAAAAAAAAATTAACAAAGTAAAAGAACAAGTTGAATTAATAAAAGAAGATTATCTAAAGAAAAACACAATGACAGCCTTATTAAACACAAAAAATATACAAGCAAACAATAGAGCTGTATTAGCTTCAAAAAATAATAGATTAACTAAAACGTCAGTAGATGTTAGTAGAATTCTATTAACACATGCTTTAACTACTAGAGATATATATACTTTACATAATACATTAACAAATAATAAAGGAAATACAGAATTTAGGAGAATATGTCTAAAATGGAAAGCAAAAAAAATTAAACCAGGAAATAGGTTAAGAAAAAAAAAAGGAAATGACAAAAGTAATGACGATGAAAAAAAAAAAAAGAAGAAAAAAAAAAGGAATATTAAAATAGATAATAAAAATAAGGAAAAAAAATATTCAAAAAATAAAAAAGAAAATAAAGATGATAATATGGATGATTATAAAAAAAAAAAGAGTAATAAAAAGAGAAAATTTAAATTTAAATATGGCAATAAAAAAAATGACAAATTCATTTCCATTGTAAAACCCTCTATTTCTCATTCTTTAGAATGTTTTGGTTTAGAAGAATTTATTAAATTGACAAAAGAGAATTTATTTGTTAAAAAATCAGATAATAAACAACATGAAAATAAAAAGATATCATCAAAATCAAAAGATAGGAAAAATATTGAGGAAAAAAAAAAAGTTGATAAATATAAAGATATAAATAAAAATATAATAAAATTTAAAAAGGAAGAGAAATCTGAGAAAGAAAATAAAACTGAACAAATTGAAAATAAAGAAAATAAGGAAATTGAAACTAAAAAAATTGAAAATAAAGAAAATGAAAATAAGGAAATTGAAACTAAAAAAATTGAAAAGAAAGAAAATGAAAATAAGGAAATTGAAACTAAAAATATTGAAAATAAAGAAAATGAAAATAAAGAAAACGAAAATAAAGAAAATGAAAATAATGAAAATGAAAATAAAGAAAATGAAAAGAAAGAAAAAGTAAATAAAGAAAACATAAATAAAGAAAATGAAAATAATGAAAATGAAAATAAAGAAAATACAAATAAGGAAAATGAAAATAAAGAAAACGAAAATAAAGGGGAAAACACAGAAAAAATAAAACTAGATGAAAAAGAAAAGGACTCAAAAAAAAAACATGAAGACGAATTTGATAAAAAAGATAAAGAACTTGTTGGAAAGAAAAAATTAGACGAAATCATAAAGGAAAATACACACAAAAAAGATAGAAATAAAATAAATAAAAAGAACAATAATGAAGTAGATATAACAGAAGAGGAAGAATGTAAAGATAAAATAAATAAAAGCAATAAAAATGAAACTAGCATAAAATGTAAATATGAAGGAGATAAAATAAATGAGAAAAATAAAAGTGAAATAAATGTTAAAAAAAAAGATGAAAAAGATAAAAATAGTGATGATTCTCAAATAAAATTTAAAAAAGAAAAAAAAGGAGTTTTTTATGGATCTTATAAAAAAAATTTAAAAAAAAGGAGATATGATTCTAATGTATTATTGGAGGAAAATATTATGGAATTTCAAATGAAGAGAAATAAAAATGAAGATAGTGATTTTAGACCAAAAAAAAATAAAAATGATTTTAGAACAGATAAAAATATAAAATCATTATCTACAGGTAAATTAATAATTATAATTTTCTCAAATAAAACAAATAATTTTAATTTATCTTACTTTTTTATTTTTTATTTTTATTATTTCTTTTAAAAAAAAAAAAGATATTTATATGATGATATATATATTTTAATTTTTGTATTTATTTGTTATTTTTTATGTACATATATGTACATGTTTTTTTTTTAATTTCTTAATATAAATTTATTTTACCTTTTTTTTTTGAAGTTAAAAAAGAATTTCATAGAAAAAATAGTGAAAGTAGTAGTAGCGAAGATTACAAAAAAAAAAAAGACAGAAAGAAAATAGATGAAGAAAAAAATAAAGATAAAAAGAAAGATCATGGGAAATGTAATAAAAAAAAAAAAAAAAAAGATCCAAATAAAAATGAAATAGGAAAAGGAGAAAAGAAGAAAAAAAATCTTAAAAAAATAAAGAGTGAAAATTATGAAAACAAAAAAGTGAAAAAAGGAAAGGAAGAAGAAAAAAACAGAAAAAAGAAAAAAGAGAAGAAAGTTTTCATTCATTTAGAAAGGTTAAAAAAAAAAAAAATAAATAAATAAAAGTAAACTAATAAAATAAAGTAAATTTATATATCTGTGATTGAATTATATATACTACTATTAAGGAATATATTTTTCTTCATTAAAATAATATGCCTATTGAAATATTACATATTTTTTAAATTTTTTTAATATTAATTATTTTATTTATTTAATTATTTTAGTCCATTATCAATTTTAATATGTGGTGGATTAATAAGTTCAAAAAAGTTGATAGAAGCTCAGGCAATTTTAAAAGAAAACAATAAGAGATTGCAAGAAGCTAAGAATAACTCTCTAATTAATACAACGAGTTTAAAAAGTTCAGATAAGTCCACTGATAAATTAGAAAAGGAAAAAATTAGTAGTACGAAAAAAGAAAATGGAGCATTTTTTTCTAATTCGTTAGCTATAGAGGTTGACTTAAGTGGATGTTTTTTCTTTCACTCATCATTTACTTGTCCAATTAGTAGAGATAAATCATCGAAAGATAATCCTCCATATTTACTTACATGTGGTCATGCTATTTGCAAGTAATTTATTAACAAAACAATAAATTTTTTAAAAATTTACATAATTCATTTGATTTGATTTTTTTTTTTTTTCAGGAATTGTGTAGATAAAATTCATGCACAAAGATCGAGACAATTCAAATGTCCAATGTGTCCTCAATATTTACACTTATTAGAGGTAAATAAAATTTATGAAAATATTTTTAAATTTACATATATATAACTTTATTTTCGTAAATATTTACAAATATATATATCCTTTTTTTTTTTTTTTTTCAGATTATTCCTTTATACTTTAGTTAATTTTTTTTTTATCATATTTTATATTGGATTTGATAAAAAAGTAGTCTGTTTTTTCTATCTTAGCATTAAGCACAAACAGTTGATAAATGAATTGAAATTATAATTTAAAATTGTAATATGTAAAAAAATTATTTTTTTAAACTTTTTTTATATATATAATATTTAATTCAATTTTCTTTTTTAATAATAGAAACAAAATTTATAAAAAAAAAATATTGTATTAAGTAAATAATTTATATTAAAGAAGAAAATTTATCATTTTTAAAACATACGAAGTTTATATAAAAACATATTTTAAAAAAAAAAATATAATATATAAAGAAATATTATTTTTTCACAGTTAAATTATTAATTACTTTGTTCATAAAACATCCTATTTTTTCTTTGTTAATAATGTTATTTTTTAGGTAGTATTTGTAATCTTTTACTTTATAATTCTCAATGTTGAAATTTTCTTCTTTTTCATCTTCTTGTACTTCATTATCTTCTCTCTTTTCCTCACTTATATTTTCATCTTTATTAAGCTTTTTCATATTATTTTTTTCCATTTTGCGTATTTTTTCATTTTCTTTATTTCCTTCTTTTTCATATTCATACTCTTCACTTCCTTTTTTTTCATATTCATACTCTTCACTTCCATCTTTTTTATAATGATATTCTTCATTACCGTCTTTTTCATAATCATATTCTTCATTTCCTTCTTTTTTATAATTAAATTCTCCATTTTCATCTTTTTCATAATCATATTCTTTTCTTTCTTTTTCATAGTTTTCATCACTATTTTCATTTTTTTCATATTCGTTATCCTTACTTTCTATTTCATATTTATAGTTTATATTTACTTCATTTTTGTATTTCTCTTTATCTTCTTCTACTTTTTCAAATTCCTTTTTACTATTTTCTTCTTCACACATTTCTTGAAATACTTTTTTATATATTTCTTCAATATTTCCTTCTTTTTCACATATTTTTTTAATAGTCTTTTCTTTTACATACTTTTCTTCAGAATGTTCCACTTTTACATACATTTCATTGACATACTGTTCATTTATAGATATTTTATTAGAATTTTCTATTTCTTCTTCTTTTAATTCTATATCTTTTTTTACTATTTTCTTTTCTCTTCTTTCATATTTTTCTATTTCACATTTATTTTCTATATGATCATTTTTATTTAACTGTTTGCTTGAAGGCTTTAAATAGTCTATTATTATATCTGCTTTTTTTTTTTCACTTTTTTTTTTTGATCTAGATATGCTATCTATACTTTTTACTCTGTCTTTTCTATGTGTAGTACTTTTTGATATTATTATGCTTGAAAAATCACACTTTTTTTCTTTCATGTTGGTTGCTAAATTTTTATCATTTTCTGAAGATTTTACATTTTTAGGACTTAATTCACTGTTTTTTATTATTTTTCGAATTTCATTTTTTGAATTTTTTTGATCCAAATCCTTTTGTTGATTTTTTTTTTCTTTTTGTGATCCGCTTAATGAAATGTCTAAATTTTTTTTTCTATCTTTTGTCTTATTTTCCTTATAAATTATGATATTAACTTTTTTATCATTAGTAAATTTTTCATCTTTTTTAATGTAGTTATTTTTTTTTTTATCAGAATCCATGTTTTTTTTTTTTAATTTATTAATAGATTTTTCTTCATTGTTTTTTGTTATACTTTTCTTTGAGTTTTCATCCATATAATACCTTTTTTCTGATGAACCACTGTTGCTTTTATAGTCTTTTATTATAGTAATAGAATTTTTTTCTTCTTTCTTAATATGCTGTGCCAATAATATGCCATTCGAAATTTTTATCTTTTTTTCTAATTTTTTTTCAGTTGTATATTCATTCAAATGATTTATTTTATTTTTTGTAGAACTAAAAAAAAAGAAAGAAGAAATAATTATAAAACACAAAATATATACTGCGAAAAGTAGCATAAATGCATTCAATATATATATTTTTTAAAAATGTGTATCCAATTTTTTCTTTTTTTTATATATCTTATATATAAACAGTAATTCTTTCTATTATTTATATAATAAAAAAAAATGAAATACAAAATAACATACGCAAAAAAAATTTAAAGTTATTATAATACTCTTTCTTCAAGAAGGATTTAGGTATAATAATGTCAGTGCGCTTTTGGTGCTGAGATTTACTCGATGTTTCCAAAAATGTTTTGATAGGTATACCAAGATCCTATACAAGGAAAAGAAATTTAAGTATAAATATAAAAAAGAATAATTATAGTGTTCTCTATATGTGTATGTATTGAAATCCTTTAAAGAACTTACATCAATAACATAATAATAATTATGATAAGAATCATTTGGATAAGAAGCATTTTTGTATTTATTGTTTAAATTTTTCATCAAAAATTCAGAATGTTCTACCCCTATTATTTCATCCTCTTTTCCATGTATTAGCAATAGTGGAATGTCTGATTCACTGTTGTTACTTATTAATTGCAAATTTTTAAAATTATCATAAATGTTTTCAATAAAATAAGAAGAATACGAAAAATAATCCTCTACTAATTTTCCTATTGAAATATAAGGAGCATGTAAAATAATCCCTCCTACATTTTTTCCAAGTAATTTTAAATTGTATGCTAATTTAGTTGCTACACCAGTTCCTATTGATCTTCCAAATAATAAAATATTTTCACTTTTCATATTTAGAGATATCAAAAAGTTATATGCTGCTAATGCTCTTCTATTTATGTTATATTGATTTGGTGAACCTTCTAAGTAGCATAGACCGAATCCTACATATTCTATAGCTAAAATATTAGCGTGTAAATGCTCATGTAAGTTCAATAATTCTTCATATATATGTCCTAAATCACATGAATTGCTGTGAAAATACATTATTGTATGCTTAGTTTTTAGTTCTTTCGAAAAATATAAAAATAAAGCAGGAAATTTTTTATTATTTAACGCTTTCATATTTTCTTCTTTATTAAATATTTCGTATACTTCATCACTCCAAAATTTACCCACATCAATTCCCAATAATTCAGGAATAAATACTAAATTTTTTAAATCATCATTATACTGAGAGAAAAAAAAAAAAAAAAAAATATTTAATGTTTTGGATAGTATATTTTATTATTTTTCAATTATTTTATAGATATATAAACTTTTTTTTTTTTTTATTATTGAAGTGTTAATTTACTTATATATGTTACATAACATATATAATTTAAATTTAACATGCAAATAATGAGTTAATATCTGTAAATTTTTAAATATTTTTTCTCTTTTTTATAACAAACACTTGGTTCCGTAGGACGAAATAATGCTGTATTTGACAATGAATTACCCATTTCTTTTTATCATTAATGTTATTTAAAAATATATATATATATATATATATATATATATTTCAGTAACTAGCTAAAAAAAATTAAAAGCTTAAATTGAGATTAAAAAAATAAAATAATAGCAAATTAGTATTTTTGTTTAAATGCTTGTATTTATCAAATTATTTTTATATATACGTCATAGTTTCTTATTTTGTTTGTTACAACCTTGAATCTTAAATATAACATTTGAATATATGTAAAATATATAGTATATCTTTTTATTAATAAACAAATAAGGCTCTTTAAATAAATACCATTAATTATTTATTACAGTAGTCATTTTTTTTTTTTTTTTCTTAAAAATAAATTTGTCTTTGGGAATTGTGTACAAGCTTTTTTCCTTTTTTTTTTTTTTTTTTTTTTTTTTAATGTGTGCATGCATTAATAGATATTTCTTTGTATTCATCATTAAAAAAAAGAAAAATATTAATATTTACTTTTTATGAAATATATAAATAAAGTTTAAAAAAAAAAAGGAGAATGTAATAATTAATATGATATATTTATTATAAATTTAATGAAAAGTTTTTTTTTTACAACGATTATTAGACTATTCCTGAAAATCAAATCTTACAACTTCAATGATCCAAAATATAAAATTTTGTCTTTAGATATGAAAAAAAAAATCTCAGTTTTTTTTTCAGTTATAAAACATGAAAAAAAAATTTTTATGCTTTTCTTCTTTTTTTTAATTTATATATTCCTCTATAAAAATATTTATATTTTTCATTCTATATTATGGTGTTATAAAAAAAAAAAAAATTTAGTGAAAAGTTTTCTTTTTTTTTATTTTTATAAATATATACTCAAAAATAGGATCATATAATTAAATTGATCCATATCAAAATAAATGTAAATTTTATTGTAATGTTTAAAATAATTTTTTTTTGTGATTTAGTTTTCGTGTGTTGAAGACCTCATATGTTACTTGAAATCAGTAGAACTCTTTAATATTAAGAAAAAAAAATATATATATATGGAATAAAGATCATAAAACTCTCAAAAAATATATATATATATATATACATGTGAAAAGTATTAAAAAATTAAGAGAAAGTTAAGAATAAAAATACTCTTTTGTATAGTTCTTTTAAAAAGCTAATCATTTTAAGGGAAATATAAATAAAATGAGAAAATTCTTGCAATTCTAATGTTTCTTCATTAAAAAAAAAATACTTTTCAAAAATTATAATATATATAAAACAGAATTAACTATAAATTAGTAAATAATTAAAAAAAAAAACAAGAGTTTTAGTATGAATGCTCAACTATAGTTATACACATTTTTAAAACATTAATTAAAAAGATGTTAAAATAATTAAGATATATAAAACATAATAATCATATTAGTATATAATTCACTAGCATGCTAAAAAAAAACAAAGGAAAAAAAAATCCATGAATTAATTATCTATTTGAGAAACATAATTTCAATTACTTCACGATGCCAAAGGGTATTGCAAATACTAGTGTTTTAATAAGCTCAAATTACATTTGAGAATAAATGAAATTAATAAGTTTTAAATTAAAAAAAAGTATGTATATCTTTTTTAAAATACATATTATTTCTCAAATATGTTTCTCCATAATTTTTAATTTAAAAAAAATATTTTTTTAAAAAGAAAAAAAAACATGAAAAGATTTATTTTTTTAAAATATTATAATAATGAACGATTTTTTTTTTCAAAAACATATAATCTTAAAATGTATTTTTAAAAAATATGATTCGTTTGATATTACTTCTTACTATTTTATGTGAACTAATATTATGGAATTTCAAAAAAATAAATTCATTCCGTTTAAATGCAAATCATTCAAATAAAATTACAAAAGATTGTAATGTTATTTATGATGCTACAAAAAGAAAGAAATTTATTTTTAAAAAATATGAAATTAAAAGAAATTTCAAAGATAAATTATATTTATCGCATTTTAATGAGACAAACAACAATAAAAGGGAAATTACAGAAGATCATATAGAGGAACAATTAAAAAATGTTGTTAAAGACATTCAAGGAGTATGGAAATTTTATCTTCCTATATATATAATGGATACAGAATTTGAAAAACCAAAAGATGAAGAATTAGATAAAAATTATAAATTAGATAATTCAGATGATTTCCAAATAAATGATGATACAAATGAAGAAAATTCTGATGATAATAATCTTAACATATTAAGAGGAGAAAGGTTACACCCTTTACCTTTGTTTGTTTATAATTATGAACAAATTTATTCAGCTTCTAATTCTACATATGCTTGCTGGTCCAACCATTATATAAGTAAAAATATTTATGAATGCACCATAAAAATTGTAAATAAAATGAACAATAAATATATGATTATATTACAAGGTTACTTATTCATATCTCAAATAAATGCTATAAAGGATAATAATATTCGTTTAAGACCTTGTCAAATATTTGGGAATATATTTTTAGCTCACAACGATACAGTAGAAGAAAAATCAATAATCCCATCTAATGTAAAAATTTATGATAAAAGCGGGAATGAAGTAAAAGATATAATATCAATTTTAGAAAAGAAAATTCCAGAATTTAGAAAAGATAAAAAAAAAATTGAAGCATTTTTAGGATTAAAAAAATGGAAATTTCTTGGTATTTCAACAGCTTATAAAATATTAGGAGAAGGGAAAAATATATTTAATATAAATCATATTCTAACTGGAAAAGATGAAAATACTTTTTATAATGTAATGGATTTTGATTCCATAAATAATAACTATGAAAAAAATTGTTTTATATACTTAAAAGATATATTTAATTCATATTTTGAAAAGCCATCCAGTGATATTTTCTCTTTGATCATGAAAAATGTAATTTAAAATTTCTTATATTTAAAAAAAAAAAAAAATGAATAAATGAATAAATAAATAGACAATAAATAAATAAAATAAAAAAATAATAATAACACAGAAAACTATGTTTATAATTCTACATCAAAAAATACATATATAATTATATACTATGCATATTACATATTTTATATGTTTATCTTAATCTTATAACTTATATATCTTTATATATGTTATTCAATAATTATAAAATTAAGTCGGTATAATCTTAAATCCTTTTTTATATACATCATTTCTAAATGAATAGATTCAAATATTTTAATTGCATAAATATTACTTGTGCGTAATTCATATTCTTTATTTGCTTTTTATGTATATCTTTTTTTTTTTTTTTTCTTTTTGTAGATGCAAGAGAAATCTATCAATGGTCCATTTTAATATAAGAATAAAAAGAAAAAAAATGTCACATTTTATTCTACCATTATTTCATGTTCTTCGTCTTCACTTTGATTATCAATCCATTCCTACAAATAAATAATATATTAAACAAATAAAATGAAACATGAATACATCATTTTTAAAGGTTCTTATATATATATATATATCTCTTATTATTATTATTTTTTTTTTGTTATTATATATATAATTTAATTTATTAAATATATATTTTTTTACATGAAAAGACTTCAAACTTTGATCCATTAAAATAGGATTATTACCATCTATAATGTATAAAAAAAAAAAATAAATTAAATTTTATAATATATATAAGTGTATATATATAATAATTTAGAATAAAAAAAAAAAAAAAAGATATTATAAATACCAATATTCTTATCCAAACCCTTATTTTCAGAAGTACTTTCTGTATTTAATCTTCCACTTTTCTTTATGAAGAGAGAAAAAAAAATATATATAGTGGTAATAATAAAATTTAGTAATTACACTTATATTCCAAAATAATTTTCATATATACCTCTACAGTTAGACACTGAACTTTCAAATCTTGCTTCCCATCATAAAAATATACTTCTAGTTTTTTATCATTTAGGACAATATCCTTAAAGCACTATAAAAAAATATATTTTTTTTTTGTATATATAATTTTTTGCTTTCTAATTTAATTATTATTTAAATTTAAAAATATGTATATTTCTTATTTTATTTTAAGAAAAAGAAGTTACAGATACTATCATTTCTGCTTCCTCTACTCCTTTAAACTTAACACAAACAATTCCATTGGGATGTTTCTTATAATAAGAAGAAAAAAAAAAAAATTATGGTGAAAATTTTTCATTTTTTTTTTATCTTTTTTCTTATTATTCATATATTATACCGGTATTGGGTAAACTTTATGAACAGGAACATATTTTTTTATTTCCTAAAAAAAGGTTTCAAAAAAAAAAGGACAAAAAATATAAAAAATTGAAAATATTATTATTATGAATTTATATGTATTTTAAAAATTTAATGAATACTGCTTCAATCAAATTTTTTATAAAATCATAAAAAGGATCTCCTTCATCATATTTCTATTTTTACGAAAAAAAAAAAAAAAAAAAAATTAAAATGAATAAATAAATAATATTTTCTATATAAATATTTTAAGTGTAACCTTTATGTATAATATATATATATATATTTTTATGTATTATTTACCATTGCATCTTCATATGAAAAAACGTTCCTAAAAATGACAATTTTTTTTTTGGTTCCAGTGTAATATTCTCCCCACTTTTGTAGCCTTAATTGTTCATATTTTGCAGCTTTGATTTTTTTTTTTTTTTTTAAAATTTCTTCCTTTGATATTTTAGCTACTTGCTTTTTTTTATTAAATTGGGCTTTTTCTACATGAATAATACAATCTTGACGAAAATAAAAATTATCAAAATACTTAATTGCTATATCAACACTTTGAGAATAAACATAAGTAATTAGTGCATCTCCTTTTATATTATTATTTTCATCGTAGTATATTTTTATTTTGGGTTCAGTACTTTCTGCATCAATTTTTATTATTCCTGCCTTTTTAAATACATTATGAATTTCTTCTTTAGTTACATCTTTAGGTAATCCAGTTATATAAATTGAACTATTTTTAATTTTTCTATCACATAAACCTTCTTCAATTTTTTTTTTTTTTCTTTCCAGATATTTTTTTTTTTTTTCTTTTTTTCTCAATTTTTCTAAGTCTAATGTGTTTGATGTAATTTTTTCATTTAAAATTTCATTTTTATTATTATTATTATCTTTAATATTATTAATATTAAAATTCTTGCTAGAACTACTATTTAAATATTCACTAGAATTATTTTCATTGCTTTCATTAATTAAATTAAAATTATTTTGAGAATTTATTAAATTATTTTCATCCTTATTCTTATTATATATATAATTTTTTAATATATTATCATTATATATATATTTCCAATTATTTTCTCCTTTTTTATATATAGGTGTCATTAAATTAATTCTATTTTCATTCCATAATTCAATTATTTGATCAAAATTATATGGCCCATATGAATTATTATTTACGTAAATTATCCATTCATTACTTGTATCATTTTTTTCTATATTACAATCCTTTTTATCATGTATTAAATTATTTTCTTCCTTATTTTGAGTTAAATTATTTGGTTCACTCATCTTTTTGTCATTTAATACATTTTCCTTTCCAATATTAAGTAAATCTGTATTGTCCTTAGTTATATGATGAGGTTTTGTTTCATTTACTTCTTTCATATTTTTTTTGTTTATTTCAAATATTTATTATATTTACAAATTCATTTTTTAGTTTAAAATAGGAATTTTGTAATTCTTCTAGGAAAACATAAATTTTTTTTTGACTAAAATTTTTTTTTTTTTTTTTTTTTTTTTTTTTTAATATTAAATGTATTTATATAAATATAATTTATTTTTTTTATGAAAATAAATTGAATATAAGAATAAAATATAATATTATCTCNCATTTTTTAGTTTAAAATAGGAATTTTGTAATTCTTCTAGGAAAACATAAATTTTTTTTTGACTAAAATTTTTTTTTTTTTTTTTTTTTTTTTTTTTTTTTTTAATATTAAATGTATTTATATAAATATAATTTATTTTTTTTATGAAAATAAATTGAATATAAGAATAAAATATAATATTATCTCATATATATTAAAATATTTATATATATGCTTGATTTCTTTATATGTTAATCATATTAATTTAAAAGTAACAAAGTAAATTTTTTGGGTAAATTGAAACAATCTTTATAAAAGCTGTAAACAAAAAAAGTAATATTGAAAGAAAATAAAAATATCTTGATATATTTAAATTTATAATGTATAAGATAAAAATGATCAAAAATATAGAAAAATTATAATAAAATTTTATGTATTTGATAAAAGTATGGGAAAATTTTAGATGTTAATTTTCTTAGAATGGAAAAAAAAAAAAGAAAAGATAAAATAACAAAGAATTTTATACATTATGCAGTTTAAATTTTAAAATATATAGATATAAAATTAATATAGTTAAAATATTAAGTGTATTTATATATATATATATTTAATGTATACAAATTAAAAGTATTAAATAAATGAATATATATAAAATTAAAATACTTGAAACAAAAAAATATTTTATTCTTAACACTATTATAATAATATAAAGAAAGATTGTTTAAATTTATATTAAAGTGTTTACATATTTTTCATACATCCCTTGAGAATATATATATATATATATATTTAAAAGTTTCTATTAATGAAGTATTTTTATATATTTTCAAATATTTTTTTTTTTTTTTTTTTAAAGTGGTTTATGCTATGTCTTGGAATGATTTCATCCATACAACTAGGAATATTATTTCAAAATCACCAAATAAAGTAATAAATATAAGGAAAAAAAAAAAAAAAAATAAAATAAATATATATAACAAAACACACTTAAAATATATTTAATGAAATATTCTTCATTATTAATGTAAATTTATTTTTTTTTTTTTTTTTTTAGACAAGATATGTTATAAAATTACATAGGCCATCTGAAACAATTATACTGAAAGTTACTGATAGTAAAAATGTAAAAAATCTTCTTTATAACTTAAATATAACATTTTTTTACTTTATTATATATATATATATATGTATATTTTTATTATATTAATATAGAGTATAATGTATAGATTAAGTAAAAGTGACAACTTAAAAAAATTAGAAGAATTAAATTCTCTTTTTTTAATATGGGGAACGAGTGAAAATCAGAATGAAACATTACCATTAAAACTTAATAGTAAAAATAAATATGCAAAATATATATGTGTGTATTATTAATATTATAAATTATTCTAATTTATTTTTATTTTTTTTATCAGAAACCATAGATAAAGCGTCTAATGATCAAAAAGTGAAAAAAGTTAAATAAAGCAAAAGAAATGTATAAAATATTAACAATAATTAAATCAATAAAGTATATATTTCTTTTTTATAATTTAAAAATAAAAAATATATATAGTACTAAGAGTTAAAATATAGTTGTTTTTTTATTGTTATATTTCTTAATTTCTTTTTTTTTGTGTGTGGAGGAAAATTAAATATAAATGGAATTTGATAAAAAAAGAGCATATATGCTTTCTTGAATTTAATAAAATGTAAAAATATTTTTTTTATTAAATAATATATATAATTTCATTAATAATATAAATTTTAAAATTTTTTATTTAAATGAGTTTAAATTTATTTATTCTTCATATTTTAAAAAAAATTAAGCTTAAATAAAAACATTAGTAATTTCAAATAAAAAAAAAAAATAAATAAATAAATATAAAAATTTCTTATTAATTAATAAAAAAAATAATAATAAAATAAATATGATAATCATTAATAAAAAATTAATAGGTTTAATTATAAAAACTTAGATTAATTTATTCCACTTAATATTTTATCATATTTTATGTTTTTTTCATATTTTATAAATTAACATATATCAAATAAGAAGTCAGTTGAGATATGTATTAAATTTATTTATTTTTTATTTTTTTTTTTCGGAAATTTTATGTATACAAAATGACAATATTTTTTATATAAAGAAATATTGGAAATATGAAAAAAAAATGTAAAAATTTTAAAATCTTAAAAAACCTTAAATTCCCTTAAGTATATTCATATGAAGTATCTATTTTCCTTTTTTATTTTACTTTTTCTCTAAATGTATAAAGTATTTATATATATTAATATTACTTTATTATTTTGATGTTTCAAAAAAAAATATTATATAAGAAAAATAATAATTATAATAATAATAATAACAAATAAAATAAATAAGAAAAAAAAAATTAAGTAAACAAATAAAGTTCCTTAAAAAGGCACATTAAATAGTAATTAAAACATTGAAAAAAGAATGATATTTTTAAATTAACGAAGATAAGAAAGTTGAGTTTTCCTTTACCAAATGAAATACTTTAAAAAAATAAAAAAAAAATTGAATATATCATTTAACAAAAATAAAAAAGTAAAATAATTTTTATATAATTGTTTTAATGAAAATATAAAAAAAAAAAAAATTAAAAATGTCTGATGATAAAGTTGAAAATGGAGCATATATCAATAACCCTGAGTTCCCATTTAAAAATTTAAATATAGAAAAAATTGAAAAAATAAGAAAAAGTACAAGTTTAAATAAAAAGGTTAGTAGTCAAAAAAATAAAAATAATGAAGATTCAGAAGAAAAAGAAAATATTTTTAAACAAACTAATATACAAAAGTTTCAAAGTTTATTAAGCAAAAAAGTAAATAAATCTAAAAATTTTATTGAAAGGAATATTGAAAAAATTGCAACATTAAGTAAAAAAAATGATATGTTTATAAAATCAAAAAAACCTTGTAATAGAAAACATATAATTGGCTACGATTTACAAAAAGATAATAAAAAAGATTTGAAAGATAAAATAGAAGGTGAAAAAAAATCCTTAAAAAATAGAAATATTTCAAACGATACAATAAACCAAAACATATTGATCAATATAAAAAATAAAAATATAACAAATGATATTAAAAAAAAAAATTTAGACAAAAAAATAGATAATGACGGAAATAATAAAAACAACATGATTGTGAATGAAAAAAAGATGAAAAAGCATTCTCACCTAAATTTTGAAAGATCTAAAAGTTTAAAAATAAAAAGCCAATATTTAAAAAATAGTAAAAATAATTCCACTTCAATTATTAGAAAGCATAAATCATTTTTAAATGAGGATATATTTAATAAAAATTATAAAAGTAAATTGAATTCTGATGAAATTAATAAGAAATCTTTAGAATATAACAAAAATGTTACTTATCTAAAAAAATATACCCAGAAAAGTATTCAAGACAAAAAAAATGAATTGAATAATATATTGGATAAAAAACATGAAATAACAAATAAAGATAATATAGAAGTATCAGAGGGTAAGTTAAAAAAAAATATTTTAAATGATAATACACATAAAAATGAGTATAGTATAAGTGATTATGATAATGATGAAAACATTTATGAAGAAGAGAAATTCAAGGAAAGTTTAAATTTTATAACTTCGTTTAATGAGAAAAGTGAAATAAAAGAAGAATCATTTAATGAAATGGAAAATAAATTGAAAAAATTAAAAATATTAGAAAATGAAAACGATAAAAGTGTATATGATAAAACAGAAAAAACACATAATGATAAAATTAACAAAAATGTTAATTCTTTAAGTTGCGATTTAATGAATAATAAATATGAAAGTATTTATATAAATGAAAATGAAAATAGTCAAATTAATTATAATAATGATTTTTATAATAATTCCTATAATAAAAACGAAGTACATAAATTAGAAAACAAAGATAAATTATATAATAATAATTTAAATTCTTCGATATTTACTAGTAATAGTGATATATATACAGATAAAAAAATAGCTTTACAAAAGTCTGTTAGCTTAAATGACAATTCATCTATTGATACATTAACTAATTATAGTTTAAAGAATATTAATGAATTTAAAATTGTAAACGAGAAAAAAAAATTAAAAAATAGATTAAGTAACAATTGTAGAAGTTTTAGTTATGATGTGGAAACGTTTAATAATAAAACAAACAAAATATTAACTCCTGATGAAATATATTTAAAAAATGTTAATAAAAAAATAGATGAAAACAGATTTTCAGATAAAATATATTTAAAAAAATTTCACGAAAGCATAAACAAAATTAAATCTTTAGATAAATTACTTTTAGAAAAATCGTCGGATATAAAAGACAAAAGAAAGGTTTCTAACAAAGTGCTTTTAAATAATATTCAGGAAAATAATAATAATTGTAACAAAGAAAATATTAAGGGTAAATTTAAAATATCAAATTATAAAAATTCCTTAAGTGATGATTTTGATTTGAAAGAAAGATCTATATCGAACATATGTTCTACTGAATATAAAAATAAAGTTTTTGATTCCAAAAGTATTAAGGAATCTAAAAAAGATTCGTTGATTAAATGTATGAATAACACATCTAAAATATTTGAAGAAAGTTTTAGTTTAAAACAAAATTATTTTAAAAATGTTATGAAAGATAGTAAAAAGGATTATGATGAATTAAAAAGTAAAAACAAAGAAAAAGAATATAGTGATGAATATAGTGATGAATATTGTGATGAAAATTGTGATGAAAATTGTGATGAAAATTGTGATGATTTGGGTGAAAGCGAAAATCACACAAAAATGTTAAATAAAGATAGTGAGATAACCAAAAATGATGTAAATAATGAAAAAATTCACAATTTATCACAATTAGATATATGTAACGAAAATATTAATTTAACTGATAATTTTTATGTAGAAAATTATCAAAATACAAGCGATTCTTCAAAAATAAATTATAATATGAAGAAATATAATAAATTTAAAAATTCACATAAAGAGATAGATTTTCAAAACAAAAATATGTTTAATAAAAAATATATAAATTCTAATTATTACGAAAATTCTCCCACTAAGACATCAGAAAATATTTCAGAAATCGGTAATATTGATTTTTATAAAAATAATTCTGAAAAAGAGAAAAACAAAGATGGAAAATACAAAGAAAAAAAAGAGAATGAAGATGAAAAAATACAATGTGAAATTGATAAAAAAGTAAAGAGTGACGAAATAAGTGAAAATAAAGAAAAAGAAAAAAAATTTGAAAGAATAAATGATGAAGGAGATGAATTATATGAAGAATATAAACAAAGAGAAAGAAAAGATATAAATATATGTGAAGATATAGAAGAAAAAGAAAAATATAAAGAGGAAGAGAAAGGAATAAAAAAAATAAATGAAGAAATAGAAGAGGAAGGTGAAGAATTAAAATATAATGAAATGTATCAGAATAATGTTGAAAAAGGGAAACAGTATAATGAAAATGAAGAAAATTATAATAGTAAAAAAGAACAGATTTGTAAGGAAAAAGAATGTGTAGTAGAATTTAATAAAAAATATTTTGATAAAAATAAAAAAATTGACATTTTAAGAAAGGAAAATGTTTATAGTTCTTTAGAAAATTCAAAGGAAGAAAACAGTTTTTCATTAGGAACAAAAGAAGATTCCACACGAAAAAATAAGTGTAATGTTTTAGATGAATTTAAAAATGTAAGTAATAATTCATATTCATATCAAGATGGTGAAAGCAAAAATAATTATAATTTAGAAAAAAATGAAATGAAAATAAACAATTTTGAAGAAGATAAAAATAAAGTTCTATATAGTTCTAATGATACATATAATACAGAAATAGTAAAAATATATAACAAAAAATTATCAAATGAAAATATCAATAGAAAACAAAATAAGATTATAAACAAAAAAATGATATTGAAAGAAATTTTTGGTTCTAATTATGAATCGAGCTTAAAAAACACTCTCAATGAATCTAGTAATAAGTTAGAGGATGAAGAAGAAGAGGAAGAAAAAGGAGTGGATATATATAAAAATGATGAGGAAGAGAACAACAAACTAAAAGTTGAAGAAAAAAGGAAACAACAAAAGGAAGATAAAGAATCAGAGGAGGAAAATGAAGAATATAAATATGAGAAAAAAAAAATGAAAGAAATAAAAAGTGACCAAAATATGGAAATAAATGAAAGTAAATATAATATTTTTACAAATAAATCTCTTTCAAAAGATATTAGTGAATTTTCAAGATCCTCTTATGATAAAACAAAAAATATAGACAAAAATTTTTATACTGATGAATTAGAAAATTGTGACGATTCCTTAATTAAAAGATATGAAGAAAACTCCTCTCCTTTGATTCTGTCTAAGCCTTTTTTTAATGATAAGACTAGTGAAAGTAGTTTTAACAAAAGTGTGATAAAAGAGGCAGAAAAAAATGAATTTTTAAATTTAAAAACTAATGATAATTTTTTAGGAAAAACAGAAATAAATGATTTAAGAAATTCATCAATATCCATGAAAATAAAAAGTGTTGATGACTCTTTATGTGAATACCCAAAAGATTACTTATCTAAAGAATACGTTAGTTTATCATTAAAAAAAAATAAAAGGAATTATAAAAATGATGAAGAAAGAATGAGTAAAATGAAAGAAAATAAGGTTGAAGAAACTATTGAAAAAGTGAATGAAGAAGAATTGAGTGGAAAAGAAGTGTATGAAGAAGAATTGAATAAAAAAGATGTGGATGAAGAAGAAGTTAATGAAAAAGATGTGGATGAAGAAGAAGTTAATGAAAAAGATGTGGATGAAGAAGAAGTTAATGAAAAAGATATGAAGGAAAATAAAACAAACAAAAATGAAATAAACAAAGAAGTTAGTGAAGAAAAAATGAGCGAAGACAAAACAGTCAAAGAATCTAATGAAAAAAAAATGAGCGAAGATGAAATAAACGAAATTAATAAAGAAAAAGTGGACGAAGTAGTTAATGTAGGTGTAAAGAAACAGATGGAGAAAGAAGAAATTTTAAAAAAAAAAAAAGATATCGATAAAAATGAGTATCAAAAATATGGATATAATTTTTCAGATGAATATGAATCTGAGTATTTAATAATAAACAATGAAAATGAAAATATAGAAAGTAAAAAAAAAGGAGAAATTAGAAATTATAACGGAGTGGAATTAGAGAATAATTCAAAACACTATGAATATGAAAACTCTACAGGAAAAAAGGAAAAAAAAAATTTATGCATTGACATTAGTACTGAACAATTAGAAAAATATAAAGAAGAAAATAAAAATATAAATAATTTTAATGATGATAACAATGAAATGAATAACAAAAAAAAGTATATGATGTCAAAATACATGAATAAAAATTTCCTAATATATAAAGATAGATTATTTTTTGAAAAAGAGGGTAAATTATATGATAAAAAGGCGTTAGATGTAAATCATGAAACCATACATAATTATGGTGATAAATTTAAAAATTATAAAGAAAATAAGTATATATATGATAAAGTAGGTGAAGATTATAATTGTTTAATTAAAAAGAAAAATTCCAAAAAAAATAGTTATATAGATTTATATGAAAATGTAAAAAATCATATGTTAAATGATAATAAAGATATAGAGAATAATATAAAAAGTAGGAAAGAGGATAGTTATTATTTTGATTATTTGAAATATAATAATTCAAAATATTATGATGATAAATATAATGATGTTAATATGGAAGAAAATGAATATACAATGAATAAAAGAAAAAGAAAAAATATATTTGAGCAGGATAGCATAATAGAAAATAAAAATGATAACAAACTTGATATACACTACAATAAAAATGAATATTCTGATGGAATAAATAAAAAGATTAAAAAAATAGAAAATATAAATAATAGTAATATATCTTATGACAATAGTGAAAGTTCTAAAGCGATGTTATTTCATAGTATTAATGAAACAACTAATAGTAGCAACACAGTAGTATCAAAAAGAAGTAAATATATTTTAAAGCAGTCTAATTGTTCGTCTAGTTATGATGATATTCCAATGTTTTTTAATTTTGTTAATTGTTGTTCTATAGTTTTAGGATCAGAAATAATATATGTAACTGATGAAACATATGGAAAATGTGAAAATATTTTAAAGGATAAACCATTTAATACAAATTTAGAAAAGGGATATTATGAAGATATTTCTAATGATTTGTATAGTGTATTAAATAATAATTTAAGTGTATATGTAAATAGTAGTAAATATTATGAAATAAAAAAAAGAGAAAATAATGAAAGCATTTTAGGTGATCTTTTTTTAAATTTTAACGAAGAAAACAATTTTGGAAATATTAATGAAAAATCAACGAATCCCTTAAATTATGAATGCCCTGGATGGTTAACCAAAAGAAGAATCAAAAAATATTTTGATTTTTGTGTAATAAAATTATGTAAACCTACATTAATTAAAGGAATAGATATTGACACTAATAACTTTTTAGGTAATTATGCACCATATGTTTCTATTGAAGGAGCATACATTGAAGATGATATTTTAATGGATTCATGTTCTTTTTCAAAATACGTTAATAAAATTAAATATGAATGCAAAAAAAAAAATGATTTATTATTTGAAAAAGATTTTTTTTATCAGAAAAATAATGAAAATGATAAAAAATTAAGTGAAAATTTGCAGGAAAATAATGATAACTTTGATGACAAAATAAGGAATAATCTATTCAAAAACAGAGAAGAAGTAGAAATAAAAATAGATGGAAAAACATATTTTAAAAGAAATAAGTACTTTTATGAGCCTATATTAATTAACATTATTGATAAATCGGATCAAGAATATGAAAAATATTTAGAAATTTTAAAACATAATAATGAATTCAAAAACACAAAAAGTAATACTAAATCTAATTCATTTGTCACAAATGGAAATGAATATCGTTACATAGATAACAAATTATATACATTAGTAGATGTAACAAAGGAAATAGCAAGTAAATATCCAGATGTTCACAATCATTTTTTAAAAAATCCCTATTTTTATTTAGATAAAAATAATAGTAACGATGTAAAAAATTACACACATTATAACAAAATTAATGAAAACAATAATGATTACATAAATAAAACACAAAATAATGACAATAAAGATAATGAAAAAAATGAAAAAGTTGTGAATAATGAAGATGATGATTTTTCTTTAATAAATAATTCATATAACTCCAATACATTATTTTTAGATAATGATTATTCAATTGAAAAGAAGATATATAATGATTTACATAAAAAATATCAATGGATATCAATATTAGAAGATGAAAGAATGAATCCAGGGTATAAAAATTATAACCACAATTGTTTTAACATAAATACATGTAATAAAATATTTACTCATTTAATTGTGTGTTTACTACCTGATGGTGGAATAAATAAATTAAGAGTTTATGGTGAGATTAAAATAAGTGATAAAGAAAAAAAAAAAAATTTTAAAAAAACTATTAATGTGTGTAATATATTAGATGGATCAAATATTGTTTATACTACTGATGAATTTTATGGAAAATCAGAAAATATATTAATTGATCAGAATTCTAATTATGTTATGGGTTGGCAAACAAGAAGATTAATAAATAGACCATTACGTTATGTCGAAAATTTAACATTAAGTAATATATCATCTATATTTTCTAATAATAATTATTGTATAATTAAATTAAGTTTTATTACTAAGATAAAATATATAGAAATAAATACAATATTTTATGAATATAATTTTCCTTTATGTGTGTCTATTGATTCTTGCTATTTAAAAGAAGTACATTCTGAAGAGAAAATAAAGCAAATAAAATTTTTTAATGAGAATATTCAAAGTATTCAATGGAAGGAATTATTACCACTATCATACATAAAAGGAAACCATATAAATTTTTTTACAATCAATAAAACATCAAACAAAATTCCTTTAAATGATATGGTTTCATCACATCTACGATTAAATATATATCCTGATGGGGGTATAAATACTATTAAAGCATATGGAACTGTAATTGAAATTTAAAAAAAAGAAAAAAAAATACACACAAATAAAAATAAATTTGAATAATTAAAACATATGATTAGCAATTTTATTTTTAATTCCTTTCATATACCTTAAGAAAATCATTTGTTTCTTATATTATTTATTTAAAAGATATATATATATATATATATATATATATATATATATATATATATATATATATATATATATATATATATATTTATTATTATTATTATTTTGAATTAAATTTATTATTTTTTTAATTTTTTTTAAATGATTTTTTAAGATAAATATATGTGAATCATTTGTTCTTTAACATTTTTTAAAAAAAAAAAAAAAAAAAATTTCCTTTTTCTATACAAAAAATTTATATAATTATTTATGTATTTTAGGTTTATTCCTTAAATTTAATTATTTCATTTCATTTTATTTTTTTATTCTAATTTTTTTTTAATTTTTTTTATAATTTTGAATTAATTTTACATTTCTTTTTTACCCTTGAACCAAGTATATATTTTTTTTATACTTTGTTATATTTTTTATATAAATATATATATTTTTATTATTCTCTTTCATTTTAATGCATAAAATAATATTCTTTTTTTACATGATGAATTAAATTTGTCAATTTATATACATTAAATAGAAATAAAAAGAGAAAAACAAAACAAAAAAAAAAAAAAATCTAAAATTATATAAAATTTAAATAACATAGGTTATCTTATACTATTTTAATTTACATTTTTCACTTTTTTCAAATATTTTTTTTTGAGGTTGAAAAAAAAAATAAAAGTAATACAAATGTAATGTAGAAAAGAGTTCTTCTGTTTTGTTTTCCTATTATTTTGAAGATTATGAAGAATTTACAATTTAAAAAGGAAAAAATAGTATAGATTTTATTAGTTATTTTTTTAAATTAACATATTTCAGACTTTAATTATTTAAATTTAAATCATAAAATAAGAACAAATAGTCATAAAAATATATCATTTTATAAGAATTTTAATTTTTTTTTTTTTTTTTATCTATTATTTATACATTATTTAATTATAAAAAATGACTAAAATTATATTAATATTTTTTCATATATTGGTTAACTTTTCTTTTTGTTTTAAAAATTTATTATATAACCAATCACTGAATATAGTAGCAAAAAGATGTCCTAACAGATGCAGGTCTTCACAAAAATTATACGAATCAAAGAATATAGATTTAGCAAATGATATTAAGGAAAACGATTTTATTCCAAATGTTAAAGTTATGGTAAAAATATTATCTATTTATAAAATATGTATTATATATATATATATATATATTTTTATATATATATTACTTTTATTCATTTTTTTTTTTTTTTTATATTCTTAGATTGACGTAAAAAATATAAATAATATACCAGAAACTAATGGAGAAAATAATTTTAAGGTTATTGATACACATGAATTATTTAAAAATAAAAAAATTTTATTGATTAGTTTACCAGGAGCATTTACACCTACATGTACATCTAAAATGATACCACAATATGAATATGAATATGAGTTTTTCATTAAAGAAAAAAAATTTGATGATATTTACTGTATTACTAATAATGATATATTTGTATTAAAAAGTTGGTTTAAAAATATGAATATTAAAAACATAAAATACATAAGTGATGGAAATAGTTCATTTACAGAAAGTATGAATATGCTCGTTGATAAATCGAATTTTTTTATGGGTATGAGACCATGGAGATTTGTTGCTATAATTGAACATAATATTTTAGTAAAAATGTTTCAAGAAAAAGATAAACAACATAATATACAATCAGATCCATATGAAATATCATCTGTTGATAATGTCAAACAGTTTTTAATGAATAATGAGCATTGAAAAATACTATGTAAATAAAGAAATAAAAACATTTTGATTTAGTATATAACCTTTAAAATTTTTTTAAAATAAATCCTAAATTTATTTATTGAATTAATTACACTTGATATAAATTAAATTTTAATTTTTTTAAAAATCCGTATTTCATTTTTTTACTATTAACTGATAATGGATTTTTTTTTTTTTTTTTTTTTTTTTTTTAATTGTTTTATTACTGAATATATATCAATATATGCACAATATAGGGAATCCAAAAGTAATATATATATATATATATATATATATATATATGTACTTCACATTTTATGCATTTTTAAGCTTTTTATCTTGATGTGTAATAATTTTAAAATTAAATTAAATATATATTATTAAATTATAGAATAATTATTTTTAATTAATTAAACATTTTCAAAAATTGTTATAAATGTTATAATTTTTTTTTTTTCTTTTTTTTTGTTATCTAATAATAGTTTCACGATCGAACATGTGAATATTTATCAAATATTTTAATATATTACAAACATAAATATATATATTTTTTTTTTAATTAGTTTTTTTTTTTTTTTATCTTTTTTAATAAACAATAACAAAAATTATAATTAAATATTTAGGTCTATATATAAAAAGATATAAATATAAAATAATAAAAATATAGAGTTATGTATATATATATATATATAAAATAATGTAAAAATATAATTTTCTTGACATAAAAAATATTATAAATGATTAATTTAAAAGAAGTATATACAAAAAATAAAAAATAAATATTTATGTAATGCTCATATTTTCTAATTCTTTGCAGTTATTTAAAATAATTCTATTAATATTATCTTCTTTAATTTTCTTTAATGTCTCAATATTTTTATTTTGAACTATTAGTTCATTTTCAATCTTTTGTTTTTCCTTTGATTTTACTTTATCAATGATAATTATATTATAGTTATCATCTTTTTCTAAAAATAAGCTTATTTCGTTATCAAAAGTATGCTTTCTCAAATCATAAGCATTCACATAATCTCCTGGTCTTAAATGTTTTGCATTGCAAGTTTTTGTTAATATAGTACTTCCATTAGATTCATCATATAATTCAACATAAGCATAAACAAGATTATCTAATTTTAATTTCCTTGAAGAAGATTTGCAACTTTTTGTATCTATAAGACTATCCGCAGTAATATCATAATCATCACTGATATCTTCTTGTATTTCATCAATATTACTAGAATTTTTTTTTTTTCTTTTTAAATTATTTTTTTTCTTGTCACTGTTATTACTATTACTGTTTCCGTTATTACAGGAATTATTATCATCTATATTATTTAAGTTTTTATTATTAATCTCCAAAGAGTTTTTTCCCTTTTTAGAATAATGATCATTATTAATATATTCTACATTAAGTATTAAAAATACTTTTGCATCTGCTTTGCTTAAAAGTGGAGTAAAAGGATACTTATTATATCTCTCTTGTGATATATGAACATTATTTAAAAAGCAAAATGGGTTAATTAAAATAATAAAAATAGAAACATGTATACATAAATAAAATAAGCTTTTAATTCCATATTTCACTGATAAATCTTTTGGAAAAAAAATTAAATCATATTTACATATTGGGCATATATCAATAGAAAAAGTATATAAATAATTATATGTATTATTACTGGCATCATGATTTATTAAATGTTTTGAATTTTTACATTTTGATATGGTTTTGCTTAAAATAAAGTCACAAAATTTTAATGCATCATTTCTTGATAAAAAATGGAAATCTAAACCATCAGGATTGGTAACAATATTAATTATATTTTCATTCATATTATACTTTAATAACAAACTCTCTAAAAATAATAAAGTCTTTTTATGATCTACCTTTTGTCTCACTGACACACATGTATTATAAGTATAAGGAGTATATTTTTTTTTACAATCATCACATTGTGTATATTTAATTACATAATGCAAAATTAACTCCATTTCACTAATAAAATTATTTAATAGTTCTTCTTGAACACTCAAATGAATTTTTATTCTTTTACTATGTGGTTCGGTATATAAAAATTTGGCATTTAAAATTTTCAGCTTTTTTAATTTATTAACTTTTTTTAAACATAATGCTAACAATTCTTTACTTTCTAATTCACAGTATACCCATTTATTATGTAAATATCTACGACATTCACGACAATAATATATTAAGTAAGTATCTTTGTTTATATTTACACTATTACTTTCTATATTTTGTAATAAACAATTATTACACATTTTTGAAGAATTTGCCTTTATACTATCTCCACATAAAATGCATGAAATAAAATGTAAATCTTTATTCTCTAAATTTTCTGTAAGATTTTTATTTACATAGTTTTTAACATTATTATTACTCAAATCTTTTTTATTTTCATGCATTGTATTTAGGATATCCACAAATGATGATGATAAATAATTGTTTAGGCTGTCATTATAAGATTTTTCAAAGTTAATATTATTCATTTCATTTTTTAATTGTTTTTCTTCATTTTTATTATCCTCGTCATTATTTTCATCTAATATATTTTTTATCTCATATTCATTTAAATTAATTTTGGAAACAGGTAAATTTTTATCATTATAAATGAATTCATGTTTATCACTTTTTTCGTATATTATATCATTCGAGTTATCTTTATATTCAAAATTAATACAATTATCATTACTTTTTAAAGTATCATTTTCTATATTGTTGTTATCACTATTAATAGCACTATTTTGATTGTTATTATTGTCATTCAAATCGGAAAAATTAAAATAATATTTTTTTCTCTCATTCACATTATTTATGTTATCACTATATTTATTAAATTTATTTTCTTTATAATCATTTTCCTCTTTTTTTATATATTTATTTTCATCTGCAAAACTTACTTTTTTAACAATTTTGTTTTTCAATTTGGTTTCACTGGAATTCTCTTGTAATGAAACATTTTTTATTGCTTCTATATTTTTCTTATCGTTATTTTCATATCCATTTTCCTCCTTTTTTACATTCATTTTTTTTTTTATTTATTAATTACATAAAGAAAAAAAAGGTTTAATATAATAAAATAAAATTATTAATGTATATAATAAATTACGTAAATGTTTGTATATACAATAAACATTGTTAATAGTTTCAGTTTAAATCTTTTAATTTATACTTTTTGAATTTTAATATTAAATTTTTAAAGATTTCTTTTAAATATTTAATGTTTATATTACATTATCATTTTTTTTTTTTTTTTTTTTTTTTTTAATATATACAAATTTTAATATTAAATATTTTGTTTTTATTATTTAATCAAAATTATTTACGACTCTATATTTTAAATTCATGGTACTAAATTTTTAA